TGAAGAATCATCACCCCATAAAAGGTACACATTAGGCTCTTCTTCAGGCTTATCAAACTTGATCAACCCCTTCCTTATCGCTCTAACTAACTTAACAACTTCTTTAGCTTCCCATTTAGAAGGAATGAACCTTCTCTTAGGTTCCGGTGCACTTGAGAGTGGATGTATCGCATCTTCCCATTTGAACCAATCAACATAAGGCTGCCACAACCAAGAGTCAATCAATCAAAAAGTCAAACCTTGAGATAAATAGCTACACATAAACCAACATACAGACCGCATATGGATCAAAATCAGCATGTGGAGCTTCCCCTTTAAGCATTCTACGAATGAGTTTGCTCTCTTCTTTAGTCAGCTCCACTTCCTCGTCATTATACTCATCATAAATCTTGCGCCTAAAGTGTTACTAACTTACATCAGCATAATGTTTATAACTAACATACCAAAAACAAAAAGAAATTTATGGAAACAGACCAGTTCTTGGAATCATCCATAGTTGCAAGAAAAGAGTCAAGCTTGTCTTGTTTCTCCTTCTTAGTAATCTTTTTACCAGTAATGTCATAACCAATATGTTTCTCGTCTTTGTACCATTCTAATGGAACATCCCCAACTGTGTTCCTTGGAGCAACCTATTAGATTAAAAATAAATAAAAATTAAAAACTTTGTATTATAATTTATAATGTTTATAGAGGAACAAGTATCAAACCTCATCTTCTGATGAATCACTCTCTTCAGCTACTTCACGTTCTTCATCATCATCACTCCCATCTTCCTCACCATTCTCACTATCTACTACCTCATCATCTGAGCCCTCATCTCCGTTAGAATCATCGTCCTCGGAATCGAAGATATCGGAGTCAAAGTCATCGGAGTTCAAAGAGCCTGACAAGCTCTGAACATTACAAAACACAAAGAGAGAAAGAACTTAACCAAAATGCAAAAGGTCGAAGCTTTGAAACAAAAGGAGAAAAAGGAAGATGAATTACATCTCCGTCGTAATCTGAATCAATGCCGGAAGCTAAGAGGAGGTCTTCTTCTTCTTCTTCCTCTTTTTTCAAGCTTTTCACTTCATTTGCTTCTTTCTTTGAATTTAAAGAGGTGATTTTTCTATTGGGTTCTTCGTTAGCTGCTGCTTCGCTCTTCTTCTTCGACATCGGAGCTGACGGAGAGAGGAAGAGGGTTTGGTCTGAGGAAAAAAAACTCTGTTTTGGAGTTGCAGAGGATGCGGAGAAAGAAGATTTAAGGGTTTTATGTTAATTCGTTTGGTTCTTAATTATGATAATGGGCCTAATTATATTAATGGGCTTTTCTTCTGCAAGTTCTTTTATAGGGGCTTTTGTTAGAGAATGCGGCGAGTGATAGAGCAACCAACTTACACAAATTTACAAGCATAGGTGCATGTATTATTGTATTAACAATAATACAAAATTGTTTTTGATTATTTATTGAAAAAAAAATATTTTAACCGGATTTACTGACTATGAACTGAAAGGAACTTTGTTTTGCAGTGTTTTCTACTAACTATGAAAAAATAGAACTTTGGATTTCAGGCGAGTTGACGATTCGATAGCAGTATATTGGTATATAACCAGAGGCGGATCTATTCAGTGGAATGAGATGTCATGTGACATCCCTTAAATCTATAAAATTTGTGAAATATATGCCGGTCCGGCTCAAGACATAAGCAAAGGAATTCATTGTTTAGGGTCCAAATTTTTTTTTGTAATTTTTTTAGGTTTGAACTAAAAAAAAAGATTTTATAAAAGGAAAATAGTCCATTTTTTAATTGGAATAGGGTCTCGGATGGGTATGGGTTGGTCCTGAATGTATGGTAAGACAAGAAGAAATCGGTAGGAGTGTTGGTATATAACCTCTAAAGCTTTTTTGATTGTGATGGACTCGTGTTCAGTTTTAACGTCGGCACTTGAGTTGAAACATTAATTTAGAATCATCAAAAAATTAACATCACGCTCTCTGAGTAAAGTTCTTATTCCACTCAGTCAACTATGGAAAGATAACTTATATTGAATAAAAGAACCATTTTTTTTTTGTTTTTTATCAGTATGACTATGAGCCCAATTGATATATATTGATGTTTTCCGTATATTTTACGCCTTTTATCTGTTGACTTCATGAAGATTGTTGCTACAATTCGCTCATCAAACAATTTGATTAATGTGTAAAAGTGACTACTATCTAGGACCCAATGCTACATGCTGGAAATAAGTAACATATATATGCTTGCTATACTTTATTAATAATGAAATGTTAATTAGAAGTTGTAACGTGACAAGTCAACGGAAATTTTTTAAAGGAGTGAAGAGTTTTTGTTTCTTTAAGAGAGTAGCGTAAGTGGTTTGGCACCACCATTAAGTCATGCCATTGAAGAAGAATCGCAACTTTTACACTTTGCGTAGACGAATTGCATCCACAAAACTTTGATTTAATTAAAAGATCTCTAAAATTCAGTTAAAATAAAACGTCATCAAGTGTTAAATTACCTTCCTAAGTAAGTTCTTTGAGTACATTTATTCTTTTTGTAACCTACAATTATGGAACGTTTAGCTTTAACTTGTTTCGAAATTTATGATCTACCTTGCACTTTACAAGTACAACTCCAACTTTTTTTACCCTCATGGCTGACTTTGTCTTCGAATGATCAGTTAATGAATCAAAACAATATCACATGATGGCTGTGTAGGTTGTTTGATCACGGTTAGTACAGTGTTACTAGAAAATAAAGTGAGATGGTGGTTAGGTTTGTATTACACCAAAGGCATCAAGTTTTAGTGGGTCCAAAGTAAAATGTGTTTGTAGCTTAAGAGATCACTTTGACAAAAACAATTGGTTCACATCTTAGATTGTCTACTCTCTTTTTTCTTCTTTTTTGTTAATCGTTTGGTTTAAGTTTAAGTTTAGTAGACTTTAGTTGGTAGTATTTGATTTGTTGAACAAGAACGTGTGGCAGTGTTATTGATGAAGCGAAAATTATGGACACTTGACCTTTTCTCATTGTTTTCTAGCTTTGAAGATCCAAAATCAAAGGAGAAAACCAGTATTTTCACAATTTTTGGCATTCCTAATCGTCTTAATTCGAGTGTTTAGTGGAATTAAATTAAAGATTATACTAGATTAAGTGGGTATTAGAATCATGCTTGCTTATCCCCTATATATTAATTGAGAAACATTTGAAAAGATGTAACCTCAAGTTTGTATTAATTAAAAAGTAACCTTGCTTAGTTGTCAATCAATTAGCATATCAATTAAACTGACGTGGCGGCTTTAGGTTCAATTGAAATTTGCTAGGGAAAAATAATTAGAGACGCATATAACGCATGTAACATAGTTTATATATTTA